GCTTTAAATTTTAATAATATCATTTATTTAACTCAATATGTCAATGCATTATCTTTTTCTTTTCCCCAACATGATGCAATATGATATGTTTTTTTTCAATAGAGAACTTTTGTCTGTTAAAGTTTCTTCCTTTTACACCTTACACCCACCCTCTACCATCAATTCTCTACTATCTGCTCCCCTCCCTTAATCTCTGATATGTACACTTAACCTCTCTACTATCACATCTTCACATCTTTTTCATTTCTGCCATAAAGTACAGATATTCGGTACAAATTAAGTGGGGATATAGAGTGTGTATCTTTCGAAGTCTGGCTCATTACATGCAACGTTAAGTTCTATATTCATCCTCTTTGAATAAAATGATAGGGTCTCACTATTTCTTACAGCTGAATAATATTCTATAGTATATATGTACCACAGTTTTTCAACCCAGTCATGTTTTTGGACACTTAGGTGGGTACCATTCTTTAGCATTTGTGATTTAAGTGTTTTCCTGTCTTTTGGGCAAATTCCAAGGAGTGGGATTACTGAGTCATATGGTAGTTTCTAAATAGAAATGGGTTTTTGAAGAACTTCCATATTTTTTCCAGAGGTTGTACTAATTTACTTCTCACCAACCGTGTAAAACGGTTCCCTTTGGACACGTGCCGTGTTATTTATTTATTTATTTATTTATCCTAGACATTCTAACTGGGGCTAGAATCTCATTGTGGTTTTAATTTGCATTTCCCTTATGACAAGAGACTGAATGTATTTTCTTTATATGCCTTTTGGCCATTTATAGGTCTTCCTTAGAGAGTTGTCTACTCAATTCATTTGCTCATTTTTAATTGGATTATTTGTTTTTTTTTAATGGGTGAGCTGCTTGAATTCCCTATATATTATGGATATCAATCTCTTTTCTGAGAAATCGTTTGCAAATATTTTCTCCCATTCCAAGGATCATCTTTTCACACTAATTATGCTTCCTTTTCTGTGAGGAAACTTTTCAGGTTAATGTAATCCTACTTGTTTACTTTGGCAATTATGTCCTGTGATTTAGGGTCTTATTTATGAAATCTTTGTCTACTCCAATATTTTCAAGTATCCTCTACATTTTCTACTAGTAGTTATATAGTGTGAGACTTTAATTTAAATCTTTGATCCATTTTGAGTTGATTCTTGTTAATGGTGGAGATAGAGGTTTTATTTTTCAGCAGGTGGTTATCAGTTCTTCGAGCACTATTTGTTGAAAAGACTTTCTTTTCTTCACTGCATTGTCATGTAACCTCTGCCAAAGATCAGTGGGCTGTATGATTTGAGGTCTATTTCTGAATTCTCTTTTCTATTCTGTTGGTCTGTGTCTATTTTTGTGCCAGTACCATGCTGTTTTGATTATCACCACTTTGTGATATATTTTGACATTGGGTAGTGAGATGCCTCCAATATTTTATTCTTTTTACACAGTATTGCTTTGAGTTTTGAGTCTTTTATGATTCCAGACAAATTTTATAGTTGTTTATTCTATTTCTGTGAAGAATGTCATTGGCAACTGGATTAGAATTGCATTGATTATGTAAGTTATGGTGGTTAGAACTGACATTTTGACTATATTGATTCTCCAAATCCAAGAGCAGGTGATGTCTTTCCATTTTTTTGGTATCATACTCAATTTCTTTTTCCAATTTTTCATCATTTTCCTTGTTGAGGTCTTTCATGTCTTTGGTTAGGCTTATTCCTAAGTATCTTGGTTGTTTTGTGGCTATTATAAATGAGATGGCTTTCTTCAATTTTGTATCAGTCTTTTTATTGTTGATGTCAGCAGGTGACACAGTGGTTAAGGGTGCTGGACTTCCACATAGCCAACCAGTTGGAATCTTGAAGCTGGAGGCTTGGTTTCTCACTTTCTCTCTCTCTCACTCTGTCCCTCTCTGGTTAAATTTAAATAAAGAGATAGATAGATAAATAAAGTTAAATAATTTTTTTAAAAAAATGCTATAGATTTTTGTATATCGGTTTTGTATCCTGATACATTAGTGCATTCATTTATCACCTCTAAGAGTTTTTTCATGGATTCCTTTGGATTTTCTATATATATAACTATATCACCTGCAAATAGACAGTTTAGCTTCTTCTTTTCCTATTCTTCTATTTTGCTGGCTAATTTTTATAACAAATTATAGTACAATGTCACCTTTAATACCATGGATCCCCTCTCAACAAAAAAGAAACCATCTCCTACACTTCCTCTCCACTCCCAGCAGTCTTCTAAGGCTTTCTGTGGTGAGTCCTCTTGTTCTGTAACTCTTTACTTGAAGATTTAGCTTTAATTATTAAAATTAAATTATACATTCCACTTTCAACTTCTAGTGCTTTACTTGGACTTGGTAAAACATCCACAGCTATTTTTCAGTAAAATTAGGCAAAATTGCACACTTTTAGATTGTTAAGGAATTTCTAAACTTCAGCATTTATAAGTTAGGTAATGGAATCATAATTTCTGATATATTTATCTTTGATGGTTTAGGTTGAATTTATAGTTAAGTTTGTTCATCACATGATAAAAGGTTTTATAATCTGAATCCTATGATTTATAACCAACATGGCAGATTTTAGTGAAAGTAACTTGCTTTATCCAGAATTTGGTATTTCACATATATAGAGATTAAAATATGTGTAGAGGCCCCAATTGTACAATAAAGGTGCAAGGGTTGTGGTAGGACATGCAGAGAAGCTTGCCTCTAGAACTCTGCTTATTTCATGATTTTGAAAGGATTAAGAAATGGGTTTGGGGGGGGCCTGTCCCATGGCCTAGTGGTTAAGGAAATTTAATCACATGCTGACTACTGCTTGAACCCCAGCCCTGGCAGCTTGAAAAACATGTCAGGTATGTGTGTGGGCATACTCTGAATCCCAACAGGATACAGAAATGGAAGAGAAGTGATTGTAGGATGACCATGCCCCATCGGTGGGTGCTTTCTCCTTCTTGTCTCTTTCTACTAGCACACATGCCCCATGGCAATTTTTTAAAAAAGAAACACTTAAAATTTTTGAGCTAGCACAGAATTGAGACATATACTTTCTACGTGAATTGGGAAGAAATAACCACACATGGTACAAAAAGTCACTGACTTTCTGGAAATAAACCTAAAGCGTTTAGAGAAATTACAGAGAACTGAGTAAGGCGCAAGGGAATGAGAAATGCAGTATGAGCTCTTGTTCTTTGAATTACCAGTTGTGTTACTTGGGCAAGCAAAGTAACTGTTTTAAACCACTGTTATTTGGAACTAAGCTTCACTTCAAAAAAAAAAAAAAAAAAAAAAGATATGAATGTAGCACAAAAGATATAAAATCACCCAAATATTAAATCAAAACTGAAACTATTCATGTGAACTTATAATATATATCCATTTGTCTTTCTTAGCTCTGTCCATTTTTGCAATGATATTCAAGTAATAATAAATTTATCATATCTTAGTTTCTAATATTATGTCCTAATATAGGAACCACAGCTCCTTAGAAAAATTATCAATTCCAGGTCTGGGCAGAAAAAAAGTACAAGTGAACTTAGGACATCTTTTATACCAGAAAGACTAATAAAGTTATGCCAAGAGGGGTTAAAGGGTTCCCAGTGGCAAAATTTGAGACAATTTGAACATCAAAAAGAATATAAGCATGAGAGATTATAACATATTGAACTAAAAAGAAAATTCCTAAGACTCAGTGATCTCAAAAAGGGGCAGGTGGGCCCAGCCTGAAAGAATAATCAAAAGCAAATTGAACAGCAGTACTAGAAGTCACGTAGACATCTACAGGATCAGATCCCTGGGTAAGCCTGAAAACACACTGGTACTCAAGGTCCCGGTAAAATGGAGGGCTTGAGGAAGGGGATCGTGGCATGACAAGACCTGTAGATAGTGCTTCTCTCTCTCTCAGGCTAGAAAAAGGGGATCACGGCATAACAAGACCCTGTTGAGGGTGCTCCTTTCTCTCTCTCTCTCTCTCTCTCTCTCTCTCTCTTTCTCTCCCTCTCTGTTACATGTGCATGCACACATAAACACAACTCTCTATTGTGAATAAAATAAACTTTTAAAAAAGGGGTGAGGCAGGGTAAGAGAGAGAATTAAAGAACAAGGGAAAAGGAAAAAGCTTTTCTTTACGTAGGATGCCAGCTAACAGATGTAGAACAAACAATGTAATTCAAATTTCATCGTTTTTCAATTTTCATTGTAATACTGACTTAGGCAAGGATATCCATGGAAACTAAAACTACTCCTTGAAAAGCTGTTGGGAAATCGTCCATAGTCTCAAAGCATTACCCTACACATTACTACTAATCACAAGGAGAAAAATAAACCTTTATAATGAAGAGATCTGGCAATCACCATTTTAATCAAGTAATCAAAATGGTCACAAATAACGGAACAACCTGTACCATATGTCTCCTGATCTGAAGCAACAACAGGTATATTAGATGAAGAACTATGAAATGGTTAGCCACATAACTTGTCAGTTAAACAGGTCCACTTCGGAGAGTGAAAGGACACGCTATTAATGATTAAACCAAAACAATATATATAAACTGAAAGTGTCACAGATAACCCTGGATTTATCCTTATAAGGATCCTAACCAAAATATTTAAACTCAACCTGATAATGATGGAATATTAAGGCAAATGACCTGCCTCAGAAAATGTCTAAGACATAAAAAACAAAAATAGGAGACTGCTACAGATTGAAAGAGACTAAACATACATAATAATTACATGAAATATAAGGAGATTAAATGCTGCGGTAGGAAAAAAAGCTACAAAATCTACTTTGGGATCAGTTTGAAAAATTTTAAGATAGGCTATCCATTAAAAAGACACTATACAATTTTTTTGAATTTTCTTAGAAATGATAGTGGTATTATATTTATTATATAAGAGAATATCCCTATTCTTAAAAGATATATATAGCTTAAGTACTTAAGGATGAAGTGTTATAAAGCCTGTAACTTAGCTTTGAAGTGTTCAACCAAAAATATACATAGTATATAAATACATATACATAATAAAGAAAAATAACAAAAATGGAAAAATATACAGAAATTCAACAGAATCTTATTTCAATTTACCTTACAGTTGAAGTTCCCAAAACAAAAATTAAGCACAAAGAGAAATAAAAACAAACAAACAAAAGACACTTCTTACCCTGAAGTCGCTCATCAGTGAATATTTTGTTTGTTTGGTTCCAGGTGCTATCTATAAATATTACTTTTTTCAGTGCTGCGCCTGTGTACTTGCTGTCATTTAAATCACAGCCCTCTTCAGTTTTCTTGCGTTTAAATGATGGTTTGTCAGAGTCATCATTTTTGCCTCTAACATTATTTTGAATCCTTCTTTGTAGATAAAAAGAAAGATCTTTTATTGAGACAGAATGAGGTCCAGGAAAAACAAGTGCAACCTAAAACAAAGAAACTGGGTTAGCAGTACACCATCATGATCTTTCAAATAAATAAGTTATGATTGGCATAAAACTTTAAGAAAAAAATATATTGAATATTTCAGAAACAAATATTAGATTGGTTCTATTGTATGTGGTTTTTCACTTACTCCTTAGTGAATAATTAATTTTGAAATAATACTTTTAGTTATTATAAATTACTAATTGATAGAGGCCACATCAATTGTACCTCAAATAAAGAACCATTTGATAAGCTAGAAGGCAAAGTATATATTTTTGTAAAAGAACCACTGAAGGCCCATCCACAGTGGCACCTAAGTAGCACCATCACTTGGAAGTCTTAAAGCTGCATAGGAGTTTGATTAAGTTCCCAGAACCACCTGAACATTCCAGATACAGTTGTGCATCCCCACAGTCCTAGCTAACTGAGAAGCTGGGCAAGAGGATAGTGTTACAGCAAGACTCAAAAATACTTGTCTCATTTTCCTTCTCTGTTTTTTAGTTCTTATGAAAAAATACCAGCATTTGCAATCTGGTTCCCAGTTTCCATCAAATTGCATCATCTATATATAGTGATGCAAGAGAATGGAAAGGGGAGAAAATAAAAGCAGGCATAATAATATAGGCAAAGAACAAAAACCTTGGGCAAGATGATGGCACAGCAGTTTTCCTGGGCTGCTAGACACATATGGGAAGGTCCCATGTTTGACCTGGAGCCTCCCTGTACATACTGGACATAGACTGGACCTTTAAGTGCCTCTAATTAGGGCTGGCTGAGGCTGGGGGGTGGACTGTGGCATGAGGACCCTGTTGGGGTGACTCTCTCTGTCTCAAAAGAAATGAATGATCAAACAGAAAAAGAAAAAAAATCTGAATAAGGCAGGAAAACTATAAAAAGCAGACAAACATACTCAAAAAAGCCTAGCAGTCTAAGAACATATGACCTTTAAAGTAATCAAGGAAGTACACTGTATATTGTTAATGCTTTGTAAGCATAACAATAGTTTCTTAAGGAAAATATTATAACAGAAATGCAATAGAGCTTAAAATTCAATTTTATATTCAATGTGAAGAATTGTGAAAAATAAGCTGCCTACTTCATGGTCCTTTTCTTCATATTCTGGAATACAAGGATATGTATAAATGTTTACAAATTCAGGTGCTAAGAGTTTTGCATGAATAGCAGTACTTTTGCCATCTGTTTCATTTGGATGTTTAATGATGTCAATCTTCAATGGAAGCTAGAGTTAAAAAAGAAATGAAGACAAATTAATAAAAAGTAAAAATTCTAATTTTATGTTATAATGTGGTCTTTAGAGCTAAAAAGCAAGCTCACAATTGGCATCTATAAATATACTTCTGGTTTGAAAGTCATACTTTTCTAGATCAGACAATTAAGCATGGTGAAAGTGATATGGCAACCCCAAATTTCTTCCTTGATATTTCTAACTAACTTCCTTGATATTGTTATGTTCAACTCATTAACATAGACTCTGCTCTTCAAGCAAAGCTTCAGTGTCATTTTCATTTAAGTTATATGGGTACTGAAACAAATTCTTTGCATTTTTGAATTTGTGCCAAGGACATTTTGTACAATTCCTATAAATTCTAGGTTTATTTATGTTTATGCTATTTTAAAAAGAATCATAAATATGTGTAAAGCATCAGATCCAAAATTCAAGATCAGAATTTCCTCCCTATAAATCCTTTCATGTCAAATTATCATCCTTTGCTGTGAACATAATTGTCAGCAGCACACTTTAACACCACAAATCAAATAATTATCAATTAAAAATACCGTAACAGAATTGGTCTGAAAGTGTAGTTTTTATGTCACAAATATCCCTCTTCAAAACCATCTTGCCTAAGTATTTCCCTTAAAGTTTCACTGTTTGTTATGGATTACATTCTACATTGGGCACAAATATTCTCTTTAATTTCTCAGTGGATAGATGTTTCTATTATTTCACTTTGGTTTGTTTGATTTGGCTCTCTCTATAATGCCTATGCAAGTCCTGATTCAGCCACGATTATGAAAATGGAAACTATCTCCCCCACTATATGTAAGAAACCTTCCTGAGATGAGTGAAGAACCCATCTCATTTAGATTTAAATGACTTTTTGTTTTGTCAGGTACTCTCCATCATTACCTAGCTCCAATCCTATACTCACCAGCAGGATTCTAAAAGTTACCCTGGAGTACAACGTTGTTTTGCCCTAGAGTTCAAAGCTATTAATATTTATTTTTTTATACTGTACATATTTAAAGTGAATAGTCATATAAGTGTAAACACACTGAGCTGCTGCTACCAAAGGTCTTTTCTGCTGCTTCTTTACCCTCTCCCCATCTGCCATCACCCCAAGTCCTCAGGAAACAACTGATCTGCTTTCCCT